TAGGTTTCTTTGCAGAGCTGTCATTATATCCAACCATCATTCTCCCATCATACAGGGAGTCTTTTTTGCAGAATAGGCAGAGTAAGCACTGGCAGAAGTTTCATCTGGGCATGGATGGAGCGTACCTCAAAAGATGGAAAAACCCTTCCTGTCCAGCAACTGTTTCACTTTGACCATCACTGTCCTAATTGTTCACATGATCTCAAAAGAAGCCAATACACCAAGCCACAACGCCAAGCCGTACTTAAGTGGCTTGACCTATGCGGTTTGGATCTGATTTAAACATCAGATAATCACAGTAGCACAAGAAATGAACAAAGCAGGTTGTGAATGAAAAGCTGTTTCTCGCAGAATAACTCGTGGTAAGTACGAGTGGGGATAAATTGCATGAACGGCAGTGCAGAGGAGAAGAAATACCCCAATCTTGGCCCCTCGGAGTTGGTTTAATATCAAGTGCTGGCTCTCTGTGTCTCACACACACACAAGCGCACACCAAGAACAGTGTAGCCTCAGACCTGGCAAGCGCCATTCGAGTTCTTGGAGCAGCTTTCTCTCTAATTTAAAGTTGATTGCCGTGGGCCCTCTGTGTGTGACTAGTGAAATATGAGTGTGGCGAAAGAGAGTACCGAGGCTTGGACTGAGTTTAGCTCTGTGTGCATGTGATTAAGGGGCTGGTGTACGCACAAAAGTAGTGGATCCTAAGAATGTATGTCTATGCAGGCGTGTATATATGTGCATGCATGACTCCGTGTGAAGGTCTAAGTGGAGCCTGTGCATATTTGTGTGTATGTGGTTTTTGGCCGGAGCTAGTGCAGAGATCTGAGTGCCAGTGAGAGCTGTCTGCAGGGAATCAAGCGGAGCCCAAGGCCAGCTGAATAACAGTGCCTTTCTCTAACTAGAATGAGGTGTTCCGAGGTGAGTTTGACTCAATAGAGACGTACTTAAAAATGAGCTGAAGTAAAGATGGAGTTAATAGGTGTAGGTCTGTAGTCTTAAACTGCAAAAAAGGGTAAGTTCAACGTGGAACAGATGTGGGGATTTGAATGCAACATTGGTGTAGAGGTGAATCAAATCCCTGTGTCGGATAGGCAGTGCTGGGAGAAGATCCTTTACTTCAAATAAAGTAGAAATAATACAGTCTGAAAATACTTCATTACAAGTAAAAGTCCTGAATTCAAAATGATACTTAAGTACAAAAGTCTCATCGTCTAAATGTACTTAATGTATCAAAAGTATAAATACTATTTCAGCAGAAAGACACTTATCACAGTATGTAATATTATAGAATATTATTCTCTTTTTATCACTAACAAATACAACAAAAAGCATTTTAATGTTTTAGTTTGTCAACCACTTTTACATACTTAAAATACAAGTTAATAGTTACTATAAGTGTCAAATGAATAGGTGCTGTAAAAAGTACGATATTCCCTTCTTTAATGTAGCGGATTTGAAGTATATAAAGTAGCAATACATGTTAATACTTATGTAAAGCACAAGTACGTCAAAATAGTATTTGATTAAAGTACTTAGGTAAAATACTTTTACAGTTATATTAGACCACTGCTGATTGATTATTTCTCCCTGAGCATTGAAATGTTTGATTTTATAATCCTTTGAAAGACATTTTTAACGACTCCCACACTTAACTGGAGCTACAGGTAAACTCAATGCGTTCTTCAGCATAATGTTTTGAGTCAAAAGTTGGCTCATTTTACTGTCAGTGCTAATCCAAGAATTGAAGTTTGAGCTTTCCCCTTGGCTACACTACAGTTAACATGACTACATAAAGCCACACTAAATGCATTGCATATGCTGCCTTCAAGCCTTTAAGGATTTTCCTTTTATTACATAGCAATATTTTATATTCAATCTTTCTTACATCTTCACAGGCTTCAAAAGGCGTCATAATGTGTAATGTGTCAGCCATGTTCGGATTAAGACATTAAACTATTCTCGGAAATCTGAGCACCTTGGATTTCCCTTTCTTTTTGGATATCCCTGTGGTGCCAAAGTCCAAAGAGCACATTTGTTCGCCCAGCTCATAACAATCCTTTTACAGGTTTTTTGGTCACAGTGTTTAAAAAGCAAAAATACACTCCAGGTTTCCTTTTATAGAGACAGAAGACTTGGGAATCCATGGTTAGGCCAGCTTCCCAAAGGCAAACAGTAAGGTGACTGGTGTCTCTTGTTTTTCTTAAATGTTCCTTCACACTGGTAAAGTGGTCAGGAGAGTGGGAGAGCTGGTGTTCTGCTGCTACACAGTGTCAACGCCAGTTTTTCTTTCAAATTAGCTAAGGAAAATTTGCTGAATGGAGTTAAAAACATAGAAGTAGACAGAGAACTGGGGACCACTGAAAACATGGGACAGATTAACATTGCAAGACTGACTAAAGCACTTCTGTCTCTGTTTTACTGCCATATGGGAGTGTTGGGAGTAAATGAGCTCCAAGTGGTCAACAGACAGCCAAGAAACAACAGTCTATAAGTGTGAACTCTTCCCTTTAATCTCTCAAACAACACACAGAGACAAACCACTTGCCTGCACACAGCTTGTTGTGGTCCAATCACAGTCAAACAGCATAATGTGATAGGGACAACTTTACCCAAAAAGAAGGCAACACTCTGATGATCCAATCCCTGATCGACAATCCTGTGCACTAAAAAAAACACTTTAAGCAACTTTTGAACTTATTCCGACATACTTAAATCCTAATTAATCCAGAAATCCCCTCTGTTTTCAACATTTAATGTAGCAGAGCAGAACAGCCACACAATCCTGAAAATGTTATATATGTTGGGTGCATACTCAAAAGAATGAAGAATTCATCATTAATCAAAACTGAGTTAGACTTGAATGGATGCAACCACAAGATTCACTAAGGCTTTCATACATAGATGAATTCTCATCACAACTTCACTGATAATAACAATAATACTTTTTTAAGGCTCCTTTCATGACACCCAAGGTCCTGCTTTACAAAGAGAGATAAAACAATTTCAATCAAATATGTTGTTTTCTAGGAAAAAAACAACGAAATCATTCAAATGATGACTCAAAATGAAATGTTTCAATGCATAAGAATCTCATTGTGTGCCTCTTCAACTACATTTGCTGCAACATGTTTTTCTGTATCATGCCCTTGAACACACACAGACCTGATAAAAACAAGTGTACACTGACAGGAACACCACGGATTTCGGGGAAAGGTTCAAATCCTGCCGCTAAATACACAATGTGCAATGTTATATAGTGTGGAAGAGCGTAGAGTTCATATTTAAACCTCGTCCTGAAACCTTAAGGAAAACTTCCACAGATGAGCATTTTATTTGTCAATCAATCCATTGCCTTGAATTCTAAAAGAAAGATGTGTTTTTGTCTCATGCCTCCAAGAAGAACAAACAATCAGAAAACAGAGAAAGTCTTGATCTGGGCCGCTTTAATAACAGCAAAACACTATCCAAAGATGTTTATGACGTTTCATATATATGTTGCAGTGTAATCCACGTTTAATGTATCCAGTCATATGCTTATAGGCTCCAAAACACATACATTTTCACTAGAAATCTTACGGTTTTAAAAATGTCAGACGTGCATGGACAAGGAGCGTGAGACTCTTTATGCAAATTGTTTTTATAAGTTCAGTTAAGCAAATCATGCATGCTCTGCTCTTATAAAACGCAGCCACCACATTATTCAATGAATCACAAATTGTCCGTTTTTTTATGGTTATCGCTCCAGCGTGCGAGAAACACAAAGTTTACATCAAGAAGTCAAGGTTAACATGACTTCTTGATGTAAAACATATTTTGCAAGAGTAGTATTCCTTACACCTTGACTTTCTTGCTGGCTTTACACTTGACAAGGGTTGCATCTTCCTTCACATCATGAACACTTGAGAAAGACAAATACATTGGGGTAAATTGGATCCAAACTGGATGCAGCCTAGTCCTTCTGCCTTTCTCTACCTTCCCTCTCCTGAAACACCCCCAGGCTTCATCTTTCTGCTAGGTCTGTTTGCATTCCTGTTGAGCTCTATTTAAAGGCTTCATCCCTCCACTGGCTGGAGGAATGCACATCTGTAGATAAACCCCGTCCCACTGTCTCTGTCTCTCTTTCTCTGGATGTGTGTCTGTGCAGTATTCTTTTTCTAACTGCGGACTCGCAGCATTAACCTTTACTGCTGCCCCGGAACCATAATTGTGTATATAAATATACAAAAAGTAAGAGCCGGATGAAGACTAATGTTGTTTATCACATCAGCAAGTGCTTTTTGGTGACTCATATGTTGTAGCTTTGTCCTTACACTGCAGAGTGTTTTCCAGGGCTGTGTAGAAGAAAACAAGTCCACAAAAAGCCACAACAACAACAGTGCTGTGATGTATTAAGATTGATATTAAAGAAATAAACAGTGTTGCATGTATTTAAAAAATACAGCTCAGAAACCACACTTGCCAACAATTAACACAAAGGATATAAGTCTATCAAATTGAAGATGTTTTTACAAATCCATTAGTTTGAGAAAAAAAAAATATATATATATTTTCTTTAAACATCTAAATTCCAGAAATACTAAATGTGCTTTATGGTGCAATTATCGTCCTATAACGTTCAATAAGAATACATTTGGACCAAAAACACAGCTGTTGTAATCAACAAGTAAGAAAAACAACCCCAGTTTAGCTCATAATTATCAAACAATAAAATACATACATTATAGAATATTGCCATTAAGTAATGTGGGAGACATTGTGGGAGACATTGCTATAAACCATATAAAAACATGTAATGTCACAAGTGTTTTTGGTGCCAAAGAGGGAGCAACATGTAAGCTAGCAGCCTGACACATCCCTATGGAATAACATTGGAGTAAACTTCCCTCTGTTCCCTCCTGTCCCGGGGAGTGAGGCGGATAAACTTTTCGCCCCACACGCGCGCAGCTTCCTAGCCGCTAATTCCCACTACCCCTGTTTTAACAGTTCAAAAACAACAAACTTACCTTGGAAAATCTCCCCGAGTCAAACAGGCATTATTATGTTGTCGCCTTCCATAGTTGGGACTTTGTCGAGTTGTTCTTCAGCTCCCCAGGACGGACTACAGAGGGGCACGAGAGCAACAAAGTCGGACAGGCAGCAGGAGGCGGGGAGGAAGGAGGCCAGACATGTCTGCCGCCGCCTGGTTGGAGGAGCCGGCTGTCAATCATCCAGTTTAAGTGGGCGGGTCCTAACTGTAAAGGGATTATAGAGGCTGAGCTGTCAGCACTGATCCCAGGTCTGAGGTCTGAGGAATGTGGCAGAGAAAAACAGATGAAGGCCTCCCGCAGCATCAGTTTTCATGGGAATGTTCAGCAAGGTGGTGATGGTTGGTAGAAAACTGCCAAAAATGTACTAAAATATGTATAATTTTAATTAATGCGGTCTTAGTTAATGGTGAATTTAGTGTATGTCATAATTATATTACTGTATGCATGCCACTTCACCACTGATTTACATTTTATTTGACTGTTCTTGTTCCATATTATTTTAAATGCCCTCTTATTTATTTAATAATGTTTCTAGTAAACCAATTCTAAGTAACCTTTTGATTAATGATCAAACAATGATTTGTTTTGACATAAGAAGAGGAGAAAATGATTTCAAACATTTGTTTCATCAACATTGATGAAACATTTTATGTATACTGAATAACGTATATTATAACTTACATTTCAGCCTTCTTCTGGGAAGGACAATTAGCACTTGGAATACATTGTGAGTATAATGTGTGTACAATGTGCACAAAAACACACTATAATCCACATTTGCTGTTTTCCTCGACCACCTAATTTCAACCAAACATATTTTAGTGGGCTTTAAATAGCTCTTTTTGAAACAATAAGCTAGTCCATTTGCTATATTTATCCGGCAAAATGGTTAATTCTACTTTATGAGAGAGGACCCTGATTTATTTATGTATTTGTTATGTAGCTTACCTGTTATGTGATGAGTACAGGAACACATTAAACCCATTAATGGTTGCAGTGATTTATGCTTTCGCAGACAATAAATTGCATGGTAGGAGCATCTCATTATCGAAAGCACTGACCTTTTATCCTCCTACTTGAATGTGCTGGGAAAACACATCTGTCAATGTAACAGTCAGATGCAGCAATACAGCCTCGCAGCTATCTGATGCAAAATCAACACACAAAGGCGTTTAGGCGTCACAAAGGTAGGGTTCTATTGTAGTTGTGCCATATTGGTTTGCATTGTACAGGAGTGCCTTTTAAATTGTTAAACCGTTTTACAGCACTATTCATGCATCAAAATAGCACCTTTTTATACATATTATCAGTATTTTACATAATTGTTATAGGTTCAATAACTTGCCTCCACAGCAATCATACATTAGAGTTACAGTTTGATATGAGATAAATGCCATAAAAGGATTTGTTCTAATTGTAGAAACTGTACATGTATCAACATATATAACTCCTAAAATGTGTTAACACATTACAAAAGGGCAATAATTAACACATTAACAAACTGGTTGCTTTGGTGCTTTCATTAAAATGAAAGCGCCATAGAGGCTGTTTACTCCGTTTTAGGCAAATTATTTGTGTCAATTGTACCTTTGACCTAGATAGACTGGACTAAAACAATAAAAAAAAAAAAAGTGGCTGTTGTTGTCCAGCCAACTCGTGTGGCAAGAAACACTGACGTCATTATTTTGTCCAAAGGGGGATTTCTATTTTGAGCCAATCCAGCAGCCCCCCTTACTGCTGCTGACCTGAAAGTGTCATTAGGAACAGCAAATCCCAACCAACCAGAGAATTTAGTCACACGTCATTTACATATTTGTACATTCTCTTAAAAAAGTGATTTATTTTTATTTTGGTTATGTCCGATTAGCATTAATTAAGATCTTATTTAATTTTTGAGGCTGCAGTTTGTGGTTTTGTTGGGCTGAACTCCATCTGCTCCTTGTTTTTATGACTGCCCGTCCATCTTCCTCTCTCTGAATGTATTTGTTTTTTCTGGCTGTGAAAAGCACTCATTAGCCTCCTCTACCACCTGTTGCATTATGTGATACGGTGTTGCTTCCCTCTGCTGGGAATACTTACTCATTACATACAGGAGTCAAAAGTAAAAGTAAAATAATCTTATTTGCAGTTATCTAATGTGATTAATTGTGTGCTGTTGCGGGCATATTTGAGTGTATAGTATAGTATGTTTATATGCTGTTTAGAACCTTTTAACTAATTGAAACATTATTTTAATTGGTGTCTTGCAGCACTATGCTAATGAACAAGAAGCCCTCACTATTAAAGTACAACTTTCTCCCATGGATAAAGTAATGGAAGTGAACCTATTCACAGTGTTTAAAGCCTGAACCTGAAACACAGATTTTGTTCCCTGATTAAGTGTTTCATAAAAATACGTTGACAGGTTTTTGATTCTGCCAAATTGCAGACAAACGACATATTCATGCAACTTACAATACACACAGTCAAGACTCGAAACTGAGAGCTGAGAGAGTGGAACGTTTCATGAGAATTAAAGAAACAAAATATGTACAGTGACATTTACTTATAAAGGTGAGTATTACTACCTTCCCCTGAAATAGCCCACACAAAATCACAGTGTATATTGACATACATAAGGTTGTTGGAATAAAATGCATTATTCCGCTACCTATTTTATACTGTATTCATCATAGTCATTTGACTGTTAAGCATTGCTCACAGTTACAGACCCACACAGGATTTTCACAAAACTCCTACTCGGCTTTTTGCCTCTTTTAGCTCATTGTTTTGGCTCGTTTCAGTGTCACCTCTCTCATTAGCAGCAGGAAGCTGTTTTCAGCAAATAGCTCCAATAAACAAGATACACTGCTGGCACCAAACAGCATACAGACAAAGTAAACCCAGATAGCTATATGTATTTCTCTCTATTTGTCATAATGCTGTTGCCTTTGTATGCCTATTTTTATTAGATAGCGTCAGAAGGTGGTAAAATGTGGCTTGGATTGTCACCTTTCTATCAACGGCAATCTGTATGATAAATTCTGAAAATGTCTGCTCAAACACTTTTAATTTGTGTTGGCAATGGACCAGTGATTTGAGGTTAAAGGTGAAAGGTGTGAAGTGGATTTCTGGTGGCTGACAGGAGCCAAAAACGATGCAAATATAAAACATAAATATGCCAAAACACATGCAAATGAATTACATCCCTGAATGTCAACCAGCCCTCCCGTCAACAAAAAGTCAACATATTGTAACTTCCGTATGAAAAGTCAACGTTGAATGCAACTTAATTTGCGTAACATATTTGATTTACGTACCTTCCCTATGTAACTTAATTTATAAAATAAACATTCCCTTATTCAACCCAAATCTTGCTCTTTTCAAATCAAGGGATGATGTCGCCAAGTACTTTTATTTTTCAATGTTAACCAAATGTTTAAAATGGAGTAAAATAAACTTCATATAGCATGCAGTTTGGTTGTATTGGATTGTAAACCACGTCTATAAATGATGACCCCTAGTCCTAGTGGATTAATTCCACTACGTTCTTGCTGACGTGAGTGCATTTTATTGCTGCTAACCGAACAGATAACTCCTCACATGATAACAAATGTTCTGGACAGGAAGTTAATGTTTCTAGAAGGATGTGTAATGTGGTTCTGCTGTGTGGCACAGTTTGCACTGTCTGTGACTCACCGCCTGCCAACAGGAGAAACCCGCTGCATCAGAGTGCCCTGTTCACTCTTGTAAAGCAACTGAAAAAATGTACATGCTCAGATTCACATATGACACTTTCAGGCTTCACACCCACATAGCACACAAGAATGCAAACAGAGAAACACAATGGCACACAGGCAGCTGACACCTATTCACTGTGCCCAGTCTATGTCACACACTCCCAAGCCGCTGATTGTTGTTAAATCCCTGCATGACGTCATTGCCAGGCAGATGGTGGGTGTGGTCTTCACCGGCTTGTTAAACATACCACAGCTTAAATGCTGAACAGCCGCTGCTATTCCCTGACGACAACACTCCCTATTTCCCTCAGTCTGGCTCACTGTTTCTCCTGCATTCACTAGGTAAAGTACTCTTTTTTTGTGTGTTTTCATGTTGTTTCTCTCTTTGCAGCAGTTGTACAGTAATCTCTTCTTCTGGCTCAATTGCAAATTCAATAATAATATCTAATATCTCTTTCCGTTTTTTTTTTTTCTTTGTTACTGTTTTTTCTGTGGACTTAAACACTGTAGGACATCTGCGAGTATCCTGCTCACCTGAAACCTTTTTGAGGAACTTCCATCAGTTTTCCTTTGTGAGGAGCCCAGCACACTTGTTTTTTAAAGTAAAGATGTTCTTCCCGTTGGCTGTGTTCATATGTCTGTCAACTCTCCAGATGTGTCTGGGAGATGTGGCTGTGGGGGAAGCCGTCACAACAAGTAAGTACTGATATTTATATGAAATATGACATGGGGAGTCACAAGTTAGATGAGAAATATGATAACACAGAGAATAAACTGACTTAGTCTGAATATGTTATTTATACATATCTGAGTTGACAGGCTTTGTGGCTTGATATTTGTTTTAAAAGGTGTTCAAATTGAATGTTTACATAAATCAGGAAGCAGACTCATCACAAACCTACTAAGACATTCGTAATATGTAGTGAATTGAAGGAGGCAGTCTATAACTTCCCTATAATACTGTCCTGATATCATTACGTAGATGAGTCTTGGATTAATAACTTTGATTATACATAGAGTTTAAGCCTAGTCGAATCAAGTAGAGCAAGTATGATAAAGTGTCTTTGCGATTATATTATATAACATAGTGTAATACTTGTTGTGATTATGCGATTCTATTATATAACACAGTGTAATGCTTGATGTGATTATGTAAAGATATGCAGCAAGGAAAACCTTTGTTCTGTTTAAGCACTTTTTTGTATAAGGAAATAGGAATATAACAGAGCCTGTAAGACACAAAGGATAGCTTAAAGTCATGACCAACAATCTATAAAACCAGCCAAACTAAATATATGTAGACTCTAGCTATTGTGCTTTTACTGCCTCAATGCAATGATACAAATAACCACATTTACAGAGAAATTAGGAAATAAATATAGCTATAATACACTA